CCAACGTTCTTGTTGCTCTGTGTTGCGTTGTTAATGAGTGAAACACACCGGAGTTGAGGATCTGTGGGATTTATTCTCCCAAAAATATAATTTACAATTTAGGCATTTAGCAGACGGCTTATTCCAAAGCGACTTANTAGTAGTGGTGTTCCAGGCAGGATTTGAACTCGCAACCTTCCGATCATCAGCCCACCTCACTATCCGTTAGACCACCAAAAAAAAAAAAGAAGGATAATAATAACTTTTTTTTTTTTTTTTATGAGATCCATTTGTGGCGGACGATATTTAATTGTGGCGGCCCGTCACAATTAAATCAATGTATGGGAAACACTGCTTTTATGATATAGCAGGAATACAATGTGTCAGATAAAGTAGTAGTACAATACTGTACTGTGCATTCAATGGAAATTGCTAAAATAACAGCAAATAAAAGTAGAGAAAATGTAAATGAGGCTGCATCAGATTATTATATACTGTAGTGTGTTCCCAATGACAATCCAGTTGATCCTATAAGACAAATGCTACACATAACAAGCATAGAAGAAAAGTGAGAAGGTGTGTGTGATTGACCGATCTCCATATTTGTGTTGCTTTCAGGTGCCACTAAAGAAGCCATGAAGTCTGGTTTATCAGACATGGATTATCTGCGCTCAAAGGTGGCACAGACAGAGGACACCATGGAGGAGAGTAAGGAGAAGCGAGATGGTGAAGAGGAGGGGGAGGAGGATGATGAAGATGATGATGGTGTTCCTGCGCAGCACACAGACAGCGCCTATGAGAGCGGTGACAAAGAAAACCTCTCAAAGACCAAAACCTTAGTTTCCTCTGGGGATGAGAAGCAAAGCAAAGTAAAGAAAACGGCCAAGCAAGAGGTGACTGTTCAAATACACACGTTAAACAAAGCTGTTTAATTCAGGACATTGTTGGTTTTCTAGTTTACACTCACACCTGTTTGTTGCAGATGGAGCCGACAACAGAATTTACAGTGAAGCTTAGAGGAGCCCCGTTCAACGTGAAGGAGGTGAGTGAACGACAGCGTCCCGGTTTCAAAGTTACTGTGAAGATATTCCACTTTTAAAAGTTCTGTATATTTCATTTAACAAAAATATCCTCTTTTGTGTTTGTCCTCATAGCAACAAATTCGGGAGTTCATGTTGCCCCTGAAGCCTGAAGCAATCAGGATTGGGAAAAACGAAAGTGGGAATAGAACAGGTTTGATATTCAAAGGACTTTTCTCAGCATAACGTACCCTGATAACATTTTATGCTCATTGTCATATTATTCAGAGGTTTACTTACTAACCCTTTTGTTACCTCCACTACTCTATTGTGAGTCACCTTAGAGCGTAATGGTGTGTTAATAACAATGTACATATGTTGCATCATTTGGATAATTATGGTTATACATTTCCTACAATTTGTCACTTAGTTGAAGTAAAGTTAGTCTAATCCAAATGAGTCCTCTAAAACATTTAAATTGGCTTGAACTATATCATATAGATTGCCTCACATGTGCTTATCATCGGGTAGTTTCTAAATGCTAGGAAGCCATATTCTTTATTTCTTACATAAAACTACATTACCAGGTTTAACATATGCTGGCAAATGTACTATAGATATTGTACAATAGGCGCGTTCACACCAAGTACTTTTCCCACAAAGGTTCCTGAGAACTACGATTTAGTTGCGTTCACACCAAAAAGTCCCAGGAACTAAATTAGTTCTATAGAACCTTTTTTAGCCCCTTTTCAGTCCCTGCTAGAGAGCAGGGACTTTCGTGGGAGAAAAAGGTTCCTGTGTCTGATTGGCTGGGCGGAATGCAAACCACGCCCCGTAAAACTCCCTAAAACTTTTGTGAAGCCGCCATTTTATTATCCTCGCATTGCATTATTAGCATTAGCCCAGCGCAGAAACGCAGAGAGACTAACTTATGACACAAAAGAAAACATGGGAGCGGTGGAGATGAGGAGGTGTCAGCGTTCTGGCCGTTTACTCAGAAGGCTTCAGTAGAAGCTGCTGGGACTCCCAGCAGCTTCTACTGAAGCCAGTCCCCAACTCCGGGGACTTCCGGCCGGGGATTTTGGGCGGCAGTATACGCCGTGAAGTTGTTTGCGGCCTGCCAGTAAACCCAAAGCAGCAGAAGAAGAAGTGACGTCAGCGGCTTCATTTGCCTAATCCAACCCCAGGAACTAATTTCCGGTGTGAACGCGATCTGTACTTAGTTCATGAGAACTAAAGAGTTCTCAGGAACCTTTGTGGGAAAAGTACTTGGTGTGAACGCGCCTAATGTAAACACCTGGTGGGTAGAGTTGTCTAAATAAACCCTATGTCTTTGTTGACTGTGTGTCTTTCAGGGTATGTGTATGTGGACCTGCACTCTGATGAACAGGCGGAAAAGGCTTTGAAGAAGAATAAGGATTACATAGGTGAACAATACTTCATCCTTTTCTCTTGTTCGTGCATCACCATGAATTTAACTGAAATGATCACCAACCTTGTGTGTATCTGATGACTCTTCCTGGCTGAAAATGACACCTGCTTGTGTTTTCAGGTGGGCGTTACATTGAGGTCTTCCGTGTGGACCCCAATGGGGGTAAGGGGAAGAAAGACAGAAAGGACAAGGACATTGACAGAAGCTTTACCAGGAAGCTCAAGGACGATGAAGAGGAGGAAGATGTTGCAGAGTCCGGTCGACTCTTCGTCAGGAACCTTCCTTACACCTGCACAGAGGAAGAGATCAAAGAGCTTTTTGCTAAACATGGTGAATTTTAAACACAAACTATTTTTCAAGTTCATTCAAGCTTTCACTTTAATCCTGGGGAATAATAATTGTACATCTTTACAGGTCCTATATCTGAGATACTTTTCCCCATTGACAATCTGACCAAGAAACCGAAAGGATTTGCTTTTGTGATGTACATGATACCAGAGAATGCTGTGACTGCTCTGGCTCAGCTGGACGGACATATATTTCAGGTATTTTTACTGCAACGGACTTAGTATTCCAACTTATTTTCAGATGAAGTTAAGGCTGATACGTCACGTTCATTCTCTCGTGCTTTCAGGGCAGAATGCTTCACCTGCTGCCCTCCACCTTGAAGAAGGAGAAGACGGACTCAGACGCTGGTGGTCCTGGCTCTTCCACTTACAAACGGCAAAAAGATGCTAAAAATAAAGCTTCAAGTTCCAGGTAAACAATATTTAAGCACAATATCCTCTCATTCTGTGTTTGGTGTCGTATGATTTTACATCTGACTACATATTTAAATGTGTTGGTAAATGACATGACCCCTCACCCTCCTTGCTTGATTTAATGTTCTTTCTAGCTCCCACAACTGGAACACCCTATTTCTGGGCACAAGTGCAGTGGCAGATGCCATTGCTGACAAATACAACACGACAAAAAGCAAAGTCCTGGACCATGTGAGTGAAAGCTGTTCATAACGTGTTCATCAACCCCAGCATTAGTGTGTGTTCAGACCAAACACTTTCCTGCATTAAAACAATGCAAATGCTTGAGGTTCCAGTGAGTGCCTGGAGAAATGTACTATGCCCAGTTTAGATGCATGAGTTTGAAGTAGGGCTCCACTAGATGAGGAATAAATAAGTGATATTTATTTATATACTGTTGTCAATTAACGCAATTGTGTACTCAGTTCTGTATTCCTGCTGCTTTTCAGTTTACAGCTTAAGTACAACTATTAGCTTTAAAATAAATAAAAATACATAATGAAACGTATAGTGAACATTATTGGTTTTTTCAAATGTACCATTAAACTGAACACAAAAGACACCAATCAAATATCAGTCTTCTACAAATTAGTGTATTCGGAGGTTGACCTCATGATGACTAAACTTAGTTTGAAGGCTGCCAAAACTTAGTTAGAACTAAAAGGAGTCATCAAGGAAAGCATGTTCTATTTAAAAAGATAAACCGTAAAGATATTCTGTTTACATTAACAACCAGGAGTGCATGTTTGCATATTCTATTGACTTTGCTAGATGACATCTTATTGCTTTCCAACAATGTAAGTCAGGGAAGTATTTTCTTTTTGTAACAACATGTGAATGATATCCACTTGTCTATGCTTGCCCTCCCCTGCAGGAGTCAAAGGGAAGTCTTGCAGTGAGGATGGCCTTGGGAGAGACGCAGATTGTACAGGAGACTCGACAGTTTCTTCTGGACAACGGTGTCAGTCTGGATTCCTTTAGTCAGGTATGCTCGATACAAATTCCCATTTACTAATTGATAATAAGTAATATACCGTGCCGGAAATCCAGGAACATTTTTTGAAATGGTTTCCTACATATAAACATTCCCAGGCAGCAGCAGCGAGGAGTACATCTGTGATCCTGGTGAAGAATCTTCCAGCTGGTGTGACGGTGGGAGAGTTGGAGGAGCTTTTTTCTCCTCATGGCTCTTTGGGCCGAGTGCTGCTGCCGCCCTCCGGCCTCACCGCCATCATCGAGTTCCTCGAGCCCACCGAGGCGAAACGAGCCTTCACACGGCTGGCCTACAGCAAGGTGCGTGTCGCTTTATACCAGTAAAACCTGTCCCATATGTTTGATGCTGGACCTGTCCTGACTGTATCTCTGAAATCTGTAGTTCCAACACATCCCGCTGTATCTGGAGTGGGCTCCTGTTGATGTGTTTGTGGCAGGCAGACCAGAACCAGGTATAATCTCTCACACATTGTTTAACATACTACACAAACCTTTCAAGTTGTTTTTTTTGTACTAATTGAAATAACCTAAATGTATTTTTTTCCACCAAGTATTAGAAAAGGAGGAGGCAATGAAAGAGAAAAAGGAAGAGGAAGAGGAAGAAGAAGAGGAAGAGGAAGAGGAGGAGGAATCTGCTCCTGGTTCTACACTTTTCATCAAAAATCTTAATTTCAGCACAACAGAAGAGACACTACAGGAAGTGGGTTCATTCATACATTCAACCCTTAATTCATCATTTTAATCATAGCTTAATGTTTAATATTGTTTTATTCATTTGTTTCAGACATTCGCCAAATGTGGAAAGATCACTTCCTGCACCATCTCAAAGAAGAAAGATAAAACAGGTATTAAACATTAAAAAGAACTATGAACCTTCACATCCGTAAATGTAAAATAAAACACAGCATAAACTTTGGTCTGGAAGCAACGTCAATGTATGTATGCACTTGTATGCCTTTGCCGTTGTTTTCTCAAGCTTTGCAAGAGAAATGTATAAAGTTATTATTATTTTTTAGTTAACAACCACCTTTACAATATTAATTTGTTTCCAGGCAACATGTTATCCATGGGCTACGGTTTTGTTCAGTATCAGAAAGCGGAGGCAGCACAGAAGGCCCTGAGGACACTGCAGGTACCATCCTTATGTCCGTGTTGAACACATGTTCTCTGCAACCTGGATCTTTGTTAATGTGTGTTTTTATATCTCGTCCCTCCACCAGCACTGCTCTGTGGATGATCACCAGCTAGAGCTCAAGGTCTCTGAGAGAGCCACAAGGTAAGATATGCATCAGAATAAATATAAATAATATATAAATGTAAATAAATTGTGAATGTGCAAGTTTATTTAAAAGCAAAGTGTTATGGAATAAGCTAGGACAGTTGCTATTTGCAGGCTTAAGCTTTGTGCATTAGCACCTGTAATCTGTATCATCTGAAATGTGCATCATGATAGAGAATGACTTGGTAAAAGCATTATTATTGCTGACTGTAAGAGTTTGTGAAGACAGCTGTTTTGATATGTAAACTCACTTCATAAATAGTTAAACATTAATGTATTTCCTCTGTATGCAGGACTCCTGAAGTTTCACGCAAGAAGAAACAAAAAGACAAGAAACAGACGGGATCCAAAATCCTCGTGCGAAACGTCCCCTTCCAAGCCACCGTCCGGGAAATTCGAGAACTCTTCTGGTACTGAGCACATACACACACAACTGAGTTTATTCTCATGTTGTATGGGAAACAACCTGAAAAAGATAAATTAATAATACCATGATTTCATCCCCATGTCATTTTCAGTACTTTTGGAGAGCTGAAGACAGTCCGTCTTCCAAAGAAAGCCGCTGGTTCAGGGAATCATCGAGGCTTCGGCTTTATTGACTTCATCACCAAACAGGACGCCAAGGTTTGTATTATCTACGCTTTCAGACTGAAACACTGCTGCAATAAAAATGACCATTACCTTAATACAAACTAATCTCCTGTCTTCTCCCCAGAAAGCATTTGCTGCACTGTGTCACAGCACCCATCTGTACGGCCGACGCCTCGTGCTGGAGTGGGCTGACGCGGAGGAAACAGTGGAGACACTGAGGCGGAAAACAGCTGAACATTTTCATGGTAAGTCCACACTCTTTTGAAACAACATGCAGAAATGAAAGCAACTGTTTATTAATGTATTTCTTTTTGCTTCATTTATCGTCCTTGACAGTTGCCAACAAAAAGCAGCGACAGTCAGAAGTCATGGAGGGAATTGTGGAGAACATGGAAACCGGAGGCGATGCAGAAGACTGAATCTGCCCACCATCACTGTCCCTGCCGACTCTTTGACTCTGACCAGTGTCGCCCTTTGTCTTTTTTTAAATAGGACTGTGAACAAAATAAGGACTGGTTGGCAAAAGGAGATAATTATTAATAATGTCTCAGCTGGTGGATGTTTTGTGGAACTTCTAGATTTCTTACAATGTTTGGTGTAGAATGATCCTCAAAATAATTTAAATGGTTTGATTTCAGTTTTTATATAAAATGTTATATCGTGCTTTAAAGGTTTAATGTCTTAATTTGTTTGTGTAACCGACTGAGAAGAAAATAAGCAAAGAAAACATGAATTGTTTGTCTTTTGAGAAACGTTCTCATTAATGACTTTGAATCTTAAAATATTGATAAGAATAAGAAAAATAACGATTATCTCTCAAGATAAGGTGAGTCATTCTGACGAAACGAATCATTTTTGGAAAAGGTTTCCTACTTACAAGATATTTTCTTTTGCATCACATTGCCGAAAATTAACCTCTATATATTTTAAGAGCTGAGACTTTAAAAGTATAATAATGTTGTAAACTCAAAGGGACATCTAGTGGCAGCAGGCTTGCAGTGAAAACCCTTATTTAAGACTGAGAAACATTTTTCTCTTATTATTAATAAGGTAATAGTTATTTAATATTTCTGCACAATTGAGGATACATATTATTCTGTAATAAATATATTTGTTTTATTTTTGTAGAATCAAATTAGTCATTGCTGCACATGATTGCTTCTGATTCATGTGATCCAGACATTTCTAAATATTAGACAAGTTGTTAAGTCCAGAAGTCAATATTTTCTGTTTATACATGTTTAGGGTTGTAGTTTATCTATGTGGACCTCATTGAGATACGAGAAACACTTTGTAGATTAGCAGTACATTACTGCATTATATCTGCATATCATGTGTTTTTATATGTACAAAGAAACTGACTGTTACATTACATTTAGTGGAGTAAAAAGCACACTATTAACCTCTGAATTTTATTGGAGTAGAAATACAAAGTAGCAACAAGTTGAAATACTCAAGGACAAATGCAAGAACCTCAAAATTGTACTACAGTACTTTTGTAAATCTACTCTGTTACTTTACACCACTGTTTATCTGGTGCCAATGTGCATGAGGAGCTGTTTAGTGATTGGTGGACATTGGGAGTGGGCGTGTTCTTCATGTTGTCATGTGACTAGTCACCCACGGTGTAATGTCATGTGACTTGATCTGGCAAACATGGCGTCCGGACAAAACAAGGGGTCTGCTGCTGGGGTTTTTAAACATGCGTTTACTGTTTTAATCGGTTTGTGTTTTATGTGCGCATATGTTCGGGCAGATATACAAACCGCTGTTATTGACAAACAAACCGGACAGCTGTCTGTTGTTGAGGGATATCGAGAAGATTTTGTGGCCTGGGCAAACTTCACTGATGACATCAAAACATCAGGGTGAGTTCATGTTTGGGTCTTTCTATTGGAGGGACTCCTTTGCTAATGCTGTTATATTTTTAAGAATATTTAAACGCATTTCCTCTACGATTAGTTTGCAGTTTATAGACAAATCGACTAATTCTTTCAACTTTTACTTCATCTGCATTTTTACTTCTAAAAATATCCTAAAACCCGAAAGCAGAAGTGAAACACGTGACAGGAGAGGTCAAGATAGCCATACATGCATAGTGGACCTCTGTGCAAATGTAAGAATAGTAGTAAAACCCAATGAATGCATGAATTTACAAAAAGGAAAATAATTAAAGGGTATGGAGAAATTCAAGCTAAACATGAGAACACAAGTAGCCCTTTCTTTGCAGCTGGTCTTTCTTGGAGGTCACCACCAGCACTCAGTACAATGACAGCATCCAGGCTTACGCTGCCGGTGTGGTGGAGGCTGTACTCACATCTCAGGTTAGATTATACAGTCCTTTTTGATGATTGACCTACATCACATGTATTTAACCCTAAAACTTGATGTGTGTCTGTTGTAGCTCATCTATAAGCACTGGATGAACACTCTGATGGGTTACTGTGGGCCCTTCGCCACTAGAACTGGTTACTGCGAGCGCCTTAAGACCTTCATCTCAACCAATCTGCAGTGGATTCAGGATCAAATAGAGAAGCAGCCCAGTTCACCCTACTGGTACCAGGTATGAATTTAGTATTTGTAGGATGATTGCATGGCCTGAAACATTTGAAAAAGCCATAAATAAGTTCTTTGACATTTATTTTCTGCCTGTCAGGTGCGTCTGGCCCTGCTGCAGCTGAAAGGTCTAGAGGACGGCTTCAATGACCAGCTGTCATTTCCATTAGGGTCGTTCTACCTCAACCCATTTGGCTTCTTGTAAGTGGCTATCTCCATTTTTTTTATTAATTCATGTATTAATTTAACATATTTCTTTACTGGTCCATAAATGTAGTTTCTTGCTGTTGTCTATCTTACTCTACGGCTACTCTGTCCAACCAGACTGTTCCAAATGGGTGGGGATCTGGAGGACTTGGAATCAGCTCTGAACAAATCCAGCCTTACTCAACCTCTTGGATCGGGCTCCTGTTCGGCTCTCATTAAGCTGCTGCCCAACAATAAGGATCTCCTGGTGTCACATGACACCTGGAACACTTACCAGGCCATGCTGCGCATCATGAAGAAATACATGTTTGCTTTTAGAGTTTCCCCTTCAGGTAATTTCTAATCCAAGTCTGTCTTCGGTTCATCATTGCTTATGTTAAAGCTGTGATTGTGACTTTATAAATTGTTTGCTGTGTTTTTAAATGAATTATTTAACCTTTGCTTTTCGCTATTGCATATTTAGTATGAATTAAGATGTGAGGATAAAGGCCGTGATGGTCTGGTTAATTTTTTTTGGGTTTATTTACCATTTAAAAGTGGTTGCCTGAATGAACCCACATTTTTACAGGCCCTTTTTCAAAAAGACAAAATGTGTTTACAAATTTGAAGCACCAGTAATGGACTCTATGATGATGAGAATGCCGATAAATCTAACTATGTACTTAATTACATTTTTTTCAGACGAGCACCTTCTTCCTGGAGGAATTCAGGCATTCTCCTCTTACCCTGGATCGATCTTCTCTGGAGATGACTTTTATATCTTAAGTAGTGGCTTGGTGAGATCTGTTTGTACTTGCCACAATACAACCGACTGCAAATAATACTGAGTTATTTAAATGTGTTGTCAATATTTTTACTTGAGTAAAGGAAAAATTGATTTTATTTCCCCTAATCTATCTTGTGTCTCCAGGTTACTTTGGAAACCACCATTGGCAACAGTAACCCCGCTCTCTGGAAGTTTGTGCAGCCCACAGGGAGCGTCATGGAGTGGCTCAGGAACATTGTGGCTAATAGACTAGCTTCTACGGGCAAGGAGTGGGCCGAAATATTCAGCAAATACAACAGTGGAACGTGAGTATTAGGACAAAGACCTTCAGGACTTTTTGGTTAAAGAAGAGTAACCATGGGCTCATTACGTAGATGCATGTCTATCAGGACAACAGTGTCAGTAAGGAAAAGGTTAATGCTTGCACACTAAGTCCATGCCAAAATCAACATTTTACCTTAATATAATCAATTGTCTTTTTTGTTCTGTGTTCAAATTTCCATTGAATGAAAAAGATAAGATGTTTGACCTCATTCTGTCATGTGGATTGATAGGATAAGGAAGCAGAAGCAGGTTTTTTATCAGCAGTCACATGAGAAGTCAGTTGGTTTAGACAGCTGCAATCAGGCTGTGTCTTTGTTGTGGACTGCTGAATAAGCGACTTCATCAATTAGATGATTATACAGTTAAAAATAGAAGTCAGTTAATGATATTAGGGTAAAGGTTGTATGCTCATTTTAGACTGTGTGTTTTTTTTAGGTATAATAACCAGTGGATGATTGTGGACTATAACCACTTTACTCCGGGGAAGACTGACATTAAAGAGGGACTCTTTGTTGTGCTGGAGCAGATTCCGTAAGTCCTTCATCATACATTATTTCAGCATTATATTATCATGACTTCTAAATAACCTTTTAAAAATATTTTAATGCTGCAGGGGAGAAGTTGTTTTCCAAGATAAAACTCAGGAACTGCTGGAGAAAGGGTACTGGGCAAGTTACAACATACCGTAAGTATCCAGTTTAAAAGTTTTATGTAAACATATACTTTGGATGTGTTATAATTGTGTTACATGTAAAACTGCCTTTTGTTTATATTTGCTCATATGTAGATACTATGAGGAAATATTCAATGCAAGTGGCTGCAATGAGCTGGTGGAGAAGTACGGCCCGTGGTTCTCTCTGGACCAGAATCCTCGGGCTCAGATCTTCAGAAGAAACCAGACAGCTGTCACAGATGTGGACTCCATGATCCGCCTTATGAGGTACAAACAAACTCTAACATTATACTTTAAATATGTTGATTAAAAAAAAGTGTTATCAATGCGATTCTTTGTCTCTCCTCAGGTATAATAACTTCAAGGAAGACCCATTGTCAAAGTGTGAAGGCTGCAATCCACCTGGAAACGGAGAGAATGCCATCTCAGCCCGTTCAGACCTGAACCCGGCGAATGGAACGTATCCGTTTGGCGCCTTGAGGCAGAGGTCGCATGGAGGAACAGACATGAAGGTTATTATATTTTCCCATTTATCTACTTCCCATCACCCATATCTCTGCCCATGCTTACCCCAACTCTTTTCTATGTGCTTGCTAAATCTGATGCATTGTATGTTCCTGTTCAGATGACCTCCTACGGGATGTTTCGTGACTACGGTATGATGGCAGTGAGTGGACCAACATGGGACCAGGTGCCGCCCTTCCAGTGGAGCACTTCCCCTTACACAGATCTGATGCACATGGGGCACCCCGATACTTGGGCATTCAAGCCGATAAAAGTCACCTGGAATCCTTAGTTGTTTTAACGCTGAATATACGAGTGGCATGATCAATGTAAAAACTGCCGGCGGTTTGAAGTTTGGACAAAGGGAAATTATACTTGGATTCATTGTGACTCCACTTTTATGAACTCAATAGTCATGTTAATGATTATCAGAAGAGTGGCAATAATATCCAGCAGGTATTACAGTTATGCACTATTTTCATAATTAAAGCACACAAGGTATACAAATGTTGCAATATGAACTACATATCTGATTTTCATGTTTGGTTTGCTTAATAAGTGTACCTATTGCGTAAATCCCACTTGTTTCAATTGTGTTGCCATTTTCTTGAAATTGAAAAATGTTTTCACATGACCACACCTTTCTTTTGAGAAAAACGCTAAGTTCAATAATGCAGATAAAGAAGCATGTCACTGTGAAGTCAAATGTCTTGATTAGTTTTCGAATAATTGTAATATAATGCCTTATATGATTTGGGTATTTTTTTCAAATTATTTTCTAAATAAAATGCTCAGATTGTTGAATTTTATGAGATGTGATGTCTTCATGTTCTCTACTGCATCATTTAAATTGTTATTGTGGATGTGTTCAAATATATGTTTGTCACTATAGCCAAATAAAATCATATCGTTGCAAAAACTAATACAATGGTAGAAGAAGTACTCAGATCTTTTATTTAGTTAAAAGTAGCAATACTACATTGTAAAAATACTCTGTTACAAGTAAAAGTCATGTATTCAAAAATATTAAGTAAAAGTACAAAAGTATTGACATCAAAATGTTCTTAATGAATTGCTAAAATAACATTGAATGTAAATTGATTTTATTTGTATTTATTATTTTATTGAACTTTATTGAACAATTATTCAAATTAATCGAAAAAATACGAAAACATCAGTATTCCTTACATTAATTTAAAACTGAGTGCATTATGAACGGAAAACAGAAACAAAACACAAGATCACTCGGGTATTGAGGCTTTTTCTTACTTTTGCATAATTTAATGTATTTTTTGTTTCAATTAATTTAATTAAGAAAAGCAATAAATACAGAGGAAATTTGGAGAAAGCGACATTTGTATTATGAATTATTTTTGCTAAAATAAGTTAAACTCATTGGTTGTGAAAACAGTCTGTCCGTCACGTGACCAGCCATGGTGGTCGTCACGTCATTTACTGTCGTAAAGTGACAGCGCGGTCGTGTTGTTATCTTCGAACAGCTCCTTTAGCTGAACTTTAAACATGTTAAAATGTCGATCTGTTGTTCACTAACTGTCACGTAACTCAGGAGAATACCGAAACTATCGACGTGATCATAGGAGAATGCTTAAATTCAAGGTATGAAGTTTTCTGTTAGCTCGTTGGCTTGCAACATTACAAACATAACAGAGTAACCTAACGTTGCATCCAGTAATGCTATTTATCAATGGAGCTCGTTTGCTGATATGGTAGACAAGTTACACGTGTCCTATTGCTCTGTGGTGTGCACTCTGTAGTGCATTTATTTATATATACAATATATGGTGTAGAGTAGCTAAATTCTAGTTATTCCTCGTATTCCAAACATTGGTGGAAAGATGGTTTTCTTGGTCAATATTTGTACAAGTTAGCTGTTAGACGGCATACGGCAACTTAAAGTCAGCAGTGTGTTTAAACTTGTTTTGGATTTCACTAAGCTTAAAATTAGGTAGGTAAAGGCTATACAAACAATTCCTGCAGAAACGCTACATTTTTCTGAATATGATCTGAAACAGTCCTGAACATCTTGCTTTAGTTTAGGTAATCAAATGTGCTGACCCGGGTCCAACAACCGACCAAAGTCCATGAAGGAGACCAACTTACAGAAACGTCTCTAACTGAAGTGACTGACTTTTGTTTACAGTTTTGCACAGGTGTATCTGGAGTCTGATGATGAGCAACCTCAGGGATTATGTATCCCAGAATCCTCCATTGGTGACATTTTTCCTGTGTCTGTTGACTCTGGCCATCTCCTTTATCGGCTTCAGTTCTTACAGCTACACCCACACTGTTCCTAACCCCGACATAGTGAAGGTAAGGACTCACTTATTCAATTCATGATTTGAGAGTGGAATCGTCTGGTGTTCTAGCATGCAATCTGTTCACACAATCCTTTTAAGAGGACAAGTTCTTGTGTGTAAGTAAAACATGATGTTGTGCGGACTGTGAATGCATGTTTGCTTGTGTTTCTGTGTGTCCGGAACTGATTTGTAAATGGCACACTTTATTCCTCTTTTAGGACTGGAACCATCTACTGTCCTCTTTTTCACAGCACAAGTTTTGTGTGCAAACCAATGCAAGTTCGTCTGAGCTTGTCTCACCAGTGCCTTCTCCTCTGATGGATAAAGACAGTTTAGTTTCCTCAACAAAGACTCCTCTCACCACTTTGCATCTCAAGGTTCCTCTGTCTGTGACTACCAACTCAAATAGTGGCTCCCTGAAAAACCTTGCTTTACACACTGCCTTCAGTGCCAGTCAGTTACATCTTGGGGGTTAGTTTTGCACTGCATTGCTTTGTTTCAGAATAAAGTTAAAGCAGGTGAATAACCATAACATCTCACTCATGATCGATTGTTTTACTCTAAAGGAACGGAGAGTGTTGATGTGACTCTGGAGTTTTTGACCGAAAACGATTCCTACACTTGCCTCACCATAAGGGCCCCAGCGCACCTCCTACCCATGAAACTGTAAGTTAATTCATCCTCAAGTTTCTAAGCTTTCTTAAATCACTATCTTTAGTGTAAACCGCTTATAGCACTCACTGTCACAATGGTCAACCGTGTATATGGATCAATAAGATTTCTATACATTGTTGTATTTTAATTAAACGCAGCACAGTCATTTGTTTTGTACAGATTTTTTGGATGAAAAAAGTTTACAAATCTGCTAATTAAATACAATTCCGTAAATAATAAATCTCTCTGTTTTATTCTTTACATGTTATGAATATGCAAATGTTAGTAAAATGGGAATATGCATGAGTAATACATGAATTCATATTAATGTAATTTTCATTTACTCATGGTGATTCATTTTGACAAAGACAGAGCTTTCCACTGTACCTAGATAAAATCGCTCCTGAATTTGTCATTTTTTGTGTGCCTCTAATGTCATGCTTTTTCTTTAATTAAAGACTTCCGCCTGAGTGCCCAGAATTTAAGAAAAACATTTCCCCCCTCCATGTGGAAGTGAGTGACAAGAAGCCTGCGGCATCACAAACCTGCTACAGCCTACACTCACAGGATGACCCTACACTCACAGTCATGTTAACGCAGGTACAGGATGTCAAACATGAACAATATAACTGAGCCATGATACACATACCGTCTCTACATTTTGTCATTCATTCTCTACTTGTATTCTTTAGGACGAGCGAAACGTGGCAGTGAGACATTTGATGGAAGTCAGTGTGTGTCTACTTGGAGTTTGTTTGGTACTCTGTGTTGCTGCCAGTCTCACACAGTCGCTCATACGCCGCCATCATTGGAATGGACTAGATATACAAAATGTAAGTAATTTCTTATATGACCATACCACTTTATATTTGTATCTCTGGCTATGGTTAGGATAAGCCATATGATTGAAAATCTACATACTGTATCGTAGTCTCTGCATTTGTTGTTAAATGTGCATATGTTGTTTTAACTAACCTTATTGTTGACTTTTGTTTGTTTGCAGGAGCCCTTGATGGACACATGAATATTTGTTATCTGCTGACACCAAAGTCATTCATTTGAGAGAAGAGCGTTATGTGTCACTACTTTTTTTTTTAAGGCACATTCAATCGATTTCTATGGGGAGTAATATTCAGTGTTTTGAAAATTGATCACAAACAGATTGAGTACATTGCATGCAGTGTGTTGTGCAATTTTGAAGACAGCCTACATTTTTATATAGCACCCAGTGAGATGAGGATACCGCATTGAACATCTGCTGCATCAATGCTTAACATTTTTATGACATTTCTCAAAGGTTTTTCCTGCTTTAAGAAAGTGTGATGCTTAATCAGTAGAGAATACATAATATATGACAATAAAATTGTATACAATATCAAAGGGAGAAATAATTATATTATAATTATAATAGAGAAGGAGTATATTTTGTAATGGGATCCTGATGTACTCTTCAACTAGTAATGCCTACACTGTTGATTGTTCATACATTCACTATCAAGTCTAGTGCATTTTGTACCATGTTTACGTCATACATTTCTGATGCATTCTGCCGAGGGAGAGCTCAGTGTTCTCCATGAGTTTTTGTGCATCCACCTGCAATGTGTTAGTGGGTGTCAAGTAAAACCCAAATTCCTGTTGCTCCTAAATTATTTCTAAGCAAAACACTTTGTTTAGGTGAAAAAAAAAGGAATGTACCATGTGCTGCTATGATAAAGCTATTTGTAATAACACTTCAAATAATGCACAGTTTGTCACCTTGAATGTCAACCCTGCAATCAGTGATTTAATGCATTTTGAGAATGATGACGAGGTCGGACAACTAGAAAGGCGTAAAATGAATGCAAATTAATTTACAAAATATATACTGACATGTCCTACAGACTCACTCCAGAGTAGGCTAACTCTAAGAAACAGATGACTGCAACCTGTTTTCTAACATTCTTTCTCCAGTGTTGTAAGAATTAAACATTCAAATTGGAACATAAAAACTAGGTTACTATTGCTGTTATGGCTAGGGCGCTTAAACTTTAAGTGTCTTTTTAAAAGTAATCCACACTATTAATTCCCTCTAGGCTTGGGGCTTGACTTGGTGCACACACCACAATATTGGTAATAAAGCACTGTGAAATTCATTTTAAAAAACCTTACAAAGTTGTCTGCATCACCGAATGTTCCCTCTGGTGATCGAAAAAAGTGTATCTTTAGTGGAGTCCAGCCAAAACCATCAATGGAATATGTTGATCAAGTTAAGAGAGCTGAATTGGATTTACGGTTTAAATGTTTATTTAAAGAAAACTGAAATGTCCCGTACATTTACATTAGGCTACAATTTCTTTGGAGGCCAATGGTTTATTAAAGTATGAAACTCCATCTGAACTATGATCTCTCTTATGACCCTTTGCCAAAATGGTGTGTGTTGCCGAATGTGATCAACTCACAATAAACATGTTTTTTTTTTAAAGTCTGTGTTTCAAATTATACATATAAAATTGTGTCTACAATATTTCAATAGTCATTCCAACGACGTGAGGCGGGACCGCTGATGTACCGGTATGTTACAGCGTCTACGTAAGAGGATCTCTCGTCCAATCATTGTAAATAATATTTACAGGGGGCTTTCCTATTGGTGGAATATAGAAAAATAGAGGCGGGATTTGTTCAGAATGCAGATCGAAGGGGAACCAACGTCGAAGTGGTTGTTGGATTATTCGCGGCCTGACGGATTGTTTTATGTTAAGGACAAGGAAACGTAACTTTACAAAGTATGTATTCTTGCTTATACATATTATTACTCTAGGCCGAAGCAACTACAAAGTCGCCATATTTTAAAACGGTCGGCAAAGTGTGTGAAAATGACTTGAGAGAGCTCCATGTTTCCAGTGTGAAGCTAGCTAGCTAGCTACTGTTAGCTAATAAACACTCAAGACGCAAACGTCTGTTAGCTACAGTTAGCCTAACATTAAACGTTAGAATCGTTAATGCATAACGTATGAAACGTTTATTAAGGTGTATATCATGTGTACTCTACTTAATATGACTTTGCATAGACCTAAAACAATCACTGACTTCAGCATAAACAACTTATATAAATGTGTCTTGATAGCTAGCTAAGACTGTGCCTAAATGCGCCCTTTGCTCTCTTCTATGAAATGTTGATGTACCCAATCAGGCCCCACACGTGGAGCCTATTCCACGGGGGCAGCGTTCATTCAGGTGGATGTTCAGTTTCCCCCAATGAACTGTTGAGTGTCTCAATCATCTGCTGTCGCATCATGTCCATGGTGACAACAAGAGGAGTCACGTTAAAACCTTGTAGGTCAACATGCAAAACCTTTGATGGCTGTCTTTCCTCTCCAGGATGAAAGCTCTGGTCTAGAGCTCCATTGTGAAGAAAGAACACAAACGGGAAACCAGGAAGCTAGAAATATTTCTGTGTGGCCATGGCCTACTCGAACTACAGCAACCTGAGCAGGGCTCAGCTCACCTTTGAGTATCTGCACACAAACTCGTAAGTACTGACATGCTAGCAATTAATATGTGCTTATGAACTTTGTACTACACATAATTATGCTGGGGAATATCACAGATCAGCAATTAGATATACATTATACAACATATTACACCTTTAACCATCATTTGTGTCTTCAGACTGAAAGGCTTACAACAGATCAACGCCCACATTACAGATACACCTTAACTCTATTAATATCTTTTACACATTCTACATAACATGTAGCTTGCACTGATGATCATGTCTGGTAAAGCCTTATAATCAGTTCAATGAAGAAGAAAATATGCATCCATGTAATTTTGGCAGTTTGAAAAATAATAATCTCTTAGTCTCACATATGACTGTTATGTCATATGTGAAAATATATTAACTAACATTTCTAAAATCCACTCTGTCAGTGTGTGAATGAGAAATGTGTACTTTTACTTTGTGATCTTTTAATATGAGTGTGATCTGGCTGATGTGTTTGAATCTTTTGAACTTGATGGAATCATGAAAGTGCAGCAGTGATGTTTAGTCTGAAAAAGAAAATGTCATCTAAGGATTGATGCAATTCACAACCTTTTCTTACATGGTTTCAAAAGGCACTTGCATTTACTGTATGTCTCTGTACTTCACAAGCAAAGATGGAACCAAGGTGCCTTATCTTGTCATTGCTAGGACAAGTAGACTAATCGTTTTTCAGCTAACAGATCGGTCCATGGTTGAATAGGTTGTGGTGCCCCGGTCAACAAAGTCAGGAACATGGCAGTTAACACATCCTGGGCTCGTTTCCAAATCCACTGTTATGGGATTATGCACTGGAAGGGTTTACCCAAAGTACTCAAACGATAGTGCTTTATTAGGTGTTTGGAATAGCTGATGAGCTTGTGGTGTGCATTACATATGGAGTAAACATTACAAATAAATCAAAAATAATAATGAAATGCTCTTGGAACCAGAAGCTGTATACTAACTCTGTTTTAAGTGTAGCTTATACTCAACAGCTGGTTTGCATAAATGCATATCTCTTCATACACTTGAGACAAATACAGGTTGTGTAACAATTGCATGCAGAATAATAATGTGGATATCTGTAGCAGAGCAACAGTTTGTCTTTACCAGCTGGTCCTGCTATATAAACTGAAATCCTTCTTCAATGTCTGTTTTCAGGACGACCCACGAGTTCTTGTTTGGAGCCTTGGCCGAGCTTGTGGACAATTCAAGGTGCAGAAAGAACATTGAATGGTGGACACATTATGACTGATATCGTTCTTATTAAGTAAAATAACTCACAGTGGCTTTATTTCCTTCACAGAGATGCAAATGCCACACGAATAGACATCTACACAGGTACACCTGGGAATAACAGTTTACACAGTGAAGCATGCACAATTATTCTTTGCTCACTTTACATGTGGTTTTCCTTTTCACAGACAAAAGGCCCGAGCTGCGGGGCGGCTACATGCTGTGTTTTCTGGATGACGGTGTTGGAATGGACCCTTGTAAGAGCTCATTTATTCAATCACTAAAAGCTTCTCTTTATGATAAAAGGTGTTCTGTTGTAGGAGTCTTGTAAGGTTTTCCGATGATGTTCTGCATGTCTTTTATTTTTCAAACATGATGAATATTTATTTTATTAGATGAGTCAACTCACGTGATCCAGTTTGGGAAGTCAAGCAAAAGGTCCCATGAGTCCACTCAGATTGGCCAGTATGGAAACGGACTGAAATCGTAAGACGTTCTCTGCTTCTGTGTGAATATGACATTTTTACATTTGGTACATTTATTATTTGAACAATTTCCCACATCGTTAAAAATGTTTTTGTTTTCCCAGCGGCTCTATGAGGATCGGGAAAGACTTCATCTTGTTCACGAAAAAGGGCAATACGCTCACTTGCCTTTTCATGTCGAGGACTTTTCACGAAGAGGAGGGACTGGACGAGGTCAGTCAACTTTTAGATAGAGCTGTTGAATGGCGGTCGTCAATTTGAATAGCTCTATGTACTATTTGAGCTTTGCTTGTTACTGTTCTGTATTACATTGCCTGTTCAGGCTACAAGAGATCATTATTTACCGCCATTTTCATTCACTTTTGACAAGCAGAGTGAGTTGTTCTTCCATCTTTGATCATACACGTTAATGTACTACGAACAAACTGGTTTCATTATCATGTTTTACTACATTTTCTTGTTCTCTATTTCTTCCTCTACATTTACTCAGTCTATAATATGTCATTAATTGATGAAATAACTGTATTTAAGTCATTTTGAATACTTGATTCAAACTTATTTGGGTAACCATTTCACTTTTCATCTCAAGCTTCTCTTAACTTAACCTAAAGCTTTTGATCCTCTCTCTTCAGGTGATCGTGCCTCTTCCCTCCTGGGATCTGAAAACCAAGGAACCGCTGACCTCTGACCCCGAGAAGTACGCCATAGAGACGGAGCTGATCTACAAATACTCACCTTTTAAAAGTGAACAGCAGCTGATGGAGCAGTTCAACAAAATAGAAAGTAGCAGTGGTAAGCAAAAGAATATTTGTGAACAGAACAATTGTGTGGGAAATGATTTGTCTTGTCTCTATATCAACACATTACATTCTTTACATACAATTGGAATGATATAGAGTTTTTCTATAAGCTTTGGTTTTTGTGAATGACGTGGTCGCTATGTATTGCAGCAGTGCTTACTTTAGTGTTGTGCTTTGTTGAAAGGCACTCTTGTGATCGTCTATAATCTGAAGCTGGACCACAGAGAGCCAGAGCTGGATGTAGAGACGGATCACCAGGACATACTGATGGCTGGGACTCCTGTTGAAGGAGTGTAAGTGACTCCATTGAGCCGTGCAATCACCAACCCGTGGTGAAAGGAATTGTATTTTGTATTGATAGGATATTTAACGAGTGTTAATGGCCGCACTCTTTCCTCGCCCACAGGAAGCCGGAGAGGAGGTCCTTCAGGGCGTACGCTGCTGTTTTGTACATTGACCCACGCATGAGGATTTATATCCAGGGACATAAAGTCAGGACTAAGAGACTGTCGTGCTGTTTGTACAAACCGAGGTAAAATGATAACTCACTTGCACTGTGTCTGTTAACCACGGCGGTCTAGTGACAACACTTTAATCCACCTTCTTGTTTTGTTGATAGGGTTTATAAATACACATCGACTCGTTTCAAAACTCGCGCCGAGCAAGAAGTGAAGAAAGCGGATCACCTGGCTAAGATTGGTGAGACAGGGATGAAATGGGACTTGTGTTTACATTTTAGTTTTGTGACTCGCGTGCTAATCAGTTACGACCTTGGTTATTTATTTCAGCGGAGGAGAAAGCCAGAGAGGCGGAGAGTAAGCAGATGGCTTTGGAGACCAGACTAGGAGACGACCTGTCAAAAGATTCACGGGTAAGCAGAAGGGGATACTTTTAGTTTATGGCGCGTGTCCACACCATGTTTGTATAAAAACGTGATTGTTATTTGAAACCCCTGCCTTAATGTGAGGTTGTTAACGTTTGTTCCTCCGTCCGCTCTTCCTCTAGGCAATCCTTCGAAAGGTTCAAGATTCAGCCATGATGCTTCGACGGGACTGTGACATGAAGAAAAGGATTCTCGAAGCAAAACAGAAGTATGATAGACAACATTGTGAAACCTTAACATTATACATTGCTGTGTATATTGAATATTCCTTTGTGAATGTGTGTTCTGTATTTTCATGGAAATTATAAAGAATGGTAACTACAGGGGGTCCGCGGGGTCTTAAAAAGTATTAAAATTGATAAATAAATTTAGCGAAAATTAAGGCTATTAAACGGAATTTTCCAAGGTATTACATTTTGTAGCTTGTTTTCAATAAGTATATAAATTGTCCAAACAGGTTGTGTTCTACAGTCTGCCTGAATGTAATCATTGCGTAGGTGTGTAGTGTGATTCTGTGGAGTTTATTTATGGCATCCCGTGTGAGGTAAAGTGTCGTCAATGTAACCGGTTGAAACTCGAAGTGGCGATGAGGTCTTAAAATGTGTGGAAAGGGTCTTAAAAAAGGTCTTGAAAGGTATTACATTTGACTCCAGGATTCCTGCATATACCCTGAACTAGAAAGAATATCCCAACACAACACCTTTTTTAAAATAGCGTTATTTCTGAGCTTTCTCTATTTCCTATCAGTGTCCAACACTTTCTTGTTCTTCAGAGCGCTAAAGGAGCCCAAGGAGTTGAACTTTATATTCGGAGTGAACATTGGTCAGAGGGACCTGGATGGGATGTTTGTGTACAACTGCTCTCGTCTCATCAAGATGTACGAGAAGACAGGGCCTCAGCTGGAGGGAGGCATGTGAGTAACATCGAGCAGAGTTTGAAAAGTGACAATGTTTGAATATGACGATAAATATTTTACAGTTATGTGATTTGTGTGTTTTAGGGCCTGTGGAGGTGTGGTTGGAGTAGTGGATGTCCCGTATTTAATTCTAGAGCCTACTCACAACAAACAGGACTTTGCAGATGCCAAAGAGTATCGACATTTACTGAAATCCATGGGGGAACATTTAGCTCAGTACTGGAAGGACACTAACATTGGTGAGTTTCTCTGAAACGTGGGTTTTTCCATTTGTCACCAACACTGGACATGCACAATAATCATTTACCAGTTTAGATCATAGCTTCCTCCCTACAGCAAAACACTGCCCTCCCAATAAGTGCTCGACTGGTATCGGGTTTCCAATGGCTGATTTTTTTGAGAAGGAGAGAGAGAGAGTAAATGTCCACAAGTCATCTAAAAAAACGAACGTTGGTAAAACAAAAAAAGCTAATTGGTAAAAAATATAAATATATTTGAACTTGCATAAATGAATGAAAACAATGTTCATGTATTTGCTTTATTTATTTTTAATAAATGAATTTGTAGTATGAAATGCTGAGCGTCTGTTTGTTATGCAGCTACGAAAGGCATAGTGAAGTTCTGGGATGAGTTTGGATATCTGTCGGCCAGCTGGTCCGCACCCCCGTCATCAGAGCCGAGATACAAGAGGCGTCGGGCCATGGAGATACCGCTTACTATCCAGTGTGGTAAGTTACACATCAACACACACACCAAACACACACACTGTCTCGACAAGCGTACTTACTGCCACATCCTACACTGACTCTGACTCTGACTCTGCAATTTATCTTCAGATAAATGTTTAAAGTGGAGAACACTGCCATTCCAGATGGATGCTGTGGACAAACGCTACCCAGACAGCTGGGTGTGTCTCATGAACCCCGACAGCAACCAGGACAGGTGGGCAGAGTGGGGTTTCATAGGATATGTCTTTAAAGTTGGAGTGCATTGTTCATGTTACATGTGTATTGCATGCCAAGGTTGTTGCTGTCTATCAATCAATGTAGTGTTCCTACGAGCTAAACAAAGTGTGCGTTTTCTGTTCTTAGGTGTGATGCTTCTGAACAGAAACATAATTTGCCATGTGGTGTTCTGAAGAAAGACAAGCTGACGGGTGAAGTCAAACAAAAAGAGCTGGCAGAGAAAATCAAACTGCAGCAGGAGAAACTCGAGGCCTTGCAGGTACTTAATCAGTCCCTCTCTTTTCAGCGCTCTCTGTTTTATCTCAGGACACAATTGATTGTATTTTCTCTTAACAGAAAACCAGCACCATCAAATCTGCAGCGGACATAAAGAAGCTGCCTCTGGATGCCAGCATGAAACCCTCCGAGGGATCCTCTCAGGTACAAACTCCCCTGACTGGCTTCCTTTTGGGTTTGAATGCAAAGTCATTTCCTGCCTTTATTTGATACGGTCATAGTTGAGATGTGAGGCATTGACCATCATTAGTATTAGTATTTTCATTATGTTTTATTTTTTATACTGGGGATATCAATTGAAATATGAGCGATAACACACGAGTGATAACATTCCCAGTAAAATAAGTTTGCACGGATCTCTAATTTATGAAAACATTTTTAAAGATTGATTGATCAACAACCCTATTTGATCAAAGCATTAATATATAAATTCCTCTTTAACGTCTAATCGCATACATTATACTTTTTTTCTTCTTCACAGTGATACAATTATTTTTGTGTGCTTCACATGTTTTTGATTTAGGCAACCAGGTCTTCTGAGAGGTCCATAACGCGGGCCCGCTCCCCCCCGCTTCCAGCTCATCTAAAGGGCGGCCCCCCATCTCGTGCCCCTCCTCAGCGCCCCACCCGATCACCTGCTCCGCCACCACCGATTAAAGTGGAACCATCCAGGTCCAGAGCTGCAGCAAAACCTCCTCCAC